GAGTTGGGCTTGGTCTATAATCTGCCATTTTTTCATTCCTGATAATAACAACGCTATGGGGATGTTCATGTTAGTTAAAACTGTAGTAGTGTTCCAGGTCATGATACGAATTACTACCACAGACTTAAAAATAGATTGCAAAAGGCCGGGCGCCGTGGCTCACGCCTGTAATCCCAGCACTTTGGGAGACCGAGACGGGTGGATCACGAGGTCAGGAGATCGAGACCATCCTGGCTAACATGGTGAAACCCCGTCTCTACTAAAAATACAAAAAATTAGCCGGGTGCGGTGGTGGGCGCCTGTAGTCCCAGCTACACGGGAGGCTGAGGCAGGAGAATGGCATGAACCCGGGAGGTGGAGCTTGCAGTGAGCCAAGATTGCGCCACTGTACTCCAGCCTGGGCGACAGAGCAAGACTCCATCTCAAAAAAAAAAAAAAAAAAAAAAAAATTGATTGCAAAAGGGTAGAATGTAAATGTATCTATAAATAAATTTACACGTAAATATATATATACTGGGGACAAAACTTAAAATACATTCATATCTTTTTCGAGGCAGGTTTATAACTAAAAGAGGTGATTATTTGTAATTCAGCACTCCAAAAATCTATTTTTATTAGGAGTATTGCCCTCATCTATGCTTCCTTTTGGTAACTTATCAAATACCAACATTCTGGCCTGGCAAGGTGTAATCTCAGGTACTCCAGAGGCTGAGGTGGGAGGATCACTTGAAGCCAGGAGTTCAAGACCAGCCTGAGCAACATAGGGAGACTCTGTCCCTACAAAAATTAAAACAAAACAAAATACCAACATTCTAGTCTGCAAGAAACTTGAAGAGAAAAAACAGGTTTGAAATGAATAGGACTGAGATTAATTGAGAAGACAACTGTGGTGTTTCCTACCTGAGTACTGTCTGAGACTCAGCTTATTTATTTTAGAATCATCCAATAGCCTCATGCTGACTTAAATGTTATGTGTGCTGCTCATGAAAATGTCATATTCTCCAGATATAGCACTTAAATAATTTTACCCTCGACTTTAGAAAGATCCCTATTTTCCTCTCTGCTAGGATAGAAATAGGTTTTTGAAATATGAATTTGTTTTTTTGAAAAGTTTTAAATATTCAGAACTTACATTCAAACACTACCACATTACACAGAGTACTTGTTTGTGTTTTCAAACACAAAATATTACTTTAAAATTATACCTGCTGTAACGTTTAGATGAATTTCCTTTCAACACTTGAAAATTGTAATATGCTTCGATGTATTATTTATCAGCTCCCTTTCTCCTCCTGCTGTTTGCATGTTGAAGGAACAGTACAAGCCAAAAGATTTAAGTTGAAGTCATGCAAATGATATAAATGGTGAATACTGGAATTGGACAGGTTGTACAAATATTCCTGGGTCATTCTAAGCAGATTTTTTTCTGCGTCTGGCTAAGAGTTATATTTTTGGACATCAGCTAAAATTGTCAAAATTAAACTCAGTTGTAAAAATTCAATCCTTAGGAGGAGGCATTCTTTAACCGAAAATCTATAAGTATGATGCTAACAATTTAGGCACCCAGGGGAAATGTGGTGAATAAGACTTTGCAAGAGCAGATTCGAATTTTCTAATGCCTGTTTCCCTGTTGGAAACAAATCACTTTTATTACCTTTTTCATAGTTTTCATTTGCAATTTGTGGACTCATAAATATTATACATAGTTAAAAATTGAATGGAATTCTATAATTTACTTTTTCATAAATATTTTTAAAAGAAATTGGCTTGTTCTTTGGTGCTCTCATGATATTGAAGATGAAAAATATTATATTAGCATTTTGATAGATTTTGAAGTTTTAAAAAATTTGTGACTCTAGAATAATATAGTTTCTGACTTGGTGTTGTAGGGGCAAAGGGAAAACTTCCCCTTTGCCCTCTGAAGGTTCACTGAAAATATACTCACAAAAGGCAGAGAAGGCATGCAAATTTATTTAATAGGAGAGAAGGCATACAAATGCATTAACAGGTACGGAGGAGAATCACAGAGTGATTACAACAAATATCCCAATAGGGCCCTGATATTTATTTAGTTTAGTTTAGTTTAGTTTAGTTTAGTTTTGTTTTAGAGAGTGGGAGGGAGATGGGGAGTACAGGTAATTCTATTGAGGGGCAATAAATGATTACTAGGAAGAATGAATAGATGGGGATCGGAGATTAACTTGTAAATGATTCTCTTCGGAAATTGAATGAGACATTATCTTGTGAAAGGGTTAGTTCAGGTGTAGTTACAATCTTCAGTCTTATTTTTTGCAATAGATAATGAGATAACAGATAGGGGAAGAAAAAACAATTGTTCTCCTTGGGGAATCTGTCTGGTTTTAGGGGAAAGTCTTCCAGTATATGTTGATCTTTAAGGGCCTTTATTTCAAAATACTCCTGATACTGTCAGAGGCAATCAAACCAGAGCAACTCCATCTTGAATAGGGGCTGGGTAAAATAAGGCTGTGACCTACTGGGCTGCATTCCCTGGAAGTCAGACCTTCTTAGTCACAGGATGAAGTAGGAAGTTGGCAGGACTGGTATCAGAAAACACGGGTCATAAAGACCCTGCTGATAAAACAGGATGTGGTAAAGAAGCCAGCCAAAACCCACAAAAACTAAAATGGTGATGAAAGTGACCTCTAGTCATCCTCACTGCTCATTGTATGCTAATAGTAATATGTTAGCATGCTAAAAGACACTCCCACCGGTACCATGACAGTTTACAAATGCCATGGCAACATTCAAAAGTTACCCTGTATGGTCTAAAAAGGGGAGGGATCTGTTGCAGGTGAGCAGCAACTACCTGGAGCTGGTAAAGAAGAATTTACCAAGACAGTTGTAGGTAAAGAAAGGCAGATTTGTTAAAGAAAGTAGGAAAATACGTTGCAAGGTAGCAACAGGAAGACAGCAAGAGAGGAGCTGACTACAAAGACTAAGGCTTGCTGGGGATTTTACAGAATGGTGCTGTGCTGTGTGCTCAAGAGGGCTTTGGGCAGTACTGATAATGCCAAGGTTGCAGTGAGCTAACTTGCAGGTGTCTGGTGATAAGTTGGGCACAGGAGGGCTACATGTCTGGGACCATGAAGAAATGCAGACTTATAGCTTATCTGCTTTCTCTTTTTGCTTTCCCTTGGTCCTGCCAGCCCAACTCCCTCTCCTTAATTAGGACTCCACAGGACCCTCAGTTCTGGGAAATCTCCGCCCCTTTCCTGGAAAACTCATGAATAATTCACCCCTTGTTTAGCATATAATCAAGAAATAATTGTAAGTATACTCAGTCGAGCAGCCCATACTGCTGCTCTGGCTATGGAGTAGCCATTCTTTTATTCCTTTACTTTCTTAACAAAGTTGCTTTCACTTTACTCTATGGATTCACCCCAAATTCTTTCTTAACAAGAGATCTAAGAACCCTCTCTTGGGGTCTGGATTGGGGCCCCTTTCTGGTAACAATAGCAAGAAGCCGTATTTTGGGGTAAAATGTTTTGGTTTCCTTCAGTGTCTAAATTGTGATTTTTCTACTCCCACTCACACCCCCATTACATGTTCCATTCATTAATTGAATTACATATGGCATGGGGGTCAGGGGACAGGTTGGTAGGTAGAGTTCTTAGCAAAATCTGCTCCTACGAGTGGAGGAGAGATATCAGTACATCAAGCAAAATGTTTGGTAACCAGTGGCTTTTGAGTTTGCTGGTTTAGAAGAAGACATATTGCTGAAATTTTACCAATCATCTGTTACGGATATTGGAAATAAATCCAAGTATTTTTATTGCATTCCTTGGTTTATTACTAGCGGGGTAGCCTCTGAGCTCTTGTTAAGAGCACTAGTAGCAATTTCATTGTTGATTTTTCTTAAGCAGATGCTTATTTTTTCTAGTTCTTACTCTTTGAAGGAAAAATCAAATCCTTAAAATTAATCTCCAATTCATACATATTTTAGTCTTTCAACTGGCCTAGAAAACCTCTAAGTTTTTTCCACAGGCGACCCATCTTACACATTCTGAACTTAATGCTGTTGAGGTGTTCAGACACACTTGCAAAAGAAGAGAAGAGAAAAGAAAAAAGAAAGAAATCACAAATATATGTCATCTGGTTAGGTTTTATTCATCTTTCTGGCTTGCTGCGATCTTTCAAATCCTGATTCTGAAATTGGTATTCCTTTCATTCTAGTGTCATCTGAAAATTTGATCAGTTTGCCATCACCAAAAAGGGCAGTCTGCTGGACCACCCTGTGCCTCTTCTCAGGGAGCCTAGCAACAGGCTGTCTCCTAGAAATGACTGCAAGATTTTCAGCCAAGAGTCGTGGTTGCTATATGTAAATTTCAGATGGTTCACATACAGCATTAGGATGATCCTTACCTAGGCAAGGCCATTCCATTACCCATTAACCCATGTCCTTCTAATTCCTAATAACACATTCCCAGTCAGGTGTCCCTTACCCTCTCCCAACTTCTGTATCAGTACTGGGGAGCACAGTCCTTCTCCTGGAGCCAAGCATTGATGCTTCCAACCATACCCAGCCCCAAAACGCTTATGCATAGAAAGAGAAGAGTTTAGGTAGGGGGAGGGGTGACACAATGTATGTATGACATTGTCTGCCATATATTTCATTGACACTCTATCTCTAAGCTTCCTCAGCCAATCTGCTTTATTCCTGCATTATGTGCTGTGTGTAGTATTTGTCCTTGCCCCAGGATGTAATAGCTGGCACTCAATGTGGGGCAAATACCACTTGACCTAATGCTATAGGTGTTTCTGTGTTTTCCAAAGACAGAAGGGTTCACTTGTGGGTGGGATATGTCTTCCTTGGGGTTGTTGTTGGCAAGTCACCTGGCTGAGTTGAAATGACCAGTGACTAGGTGGTCACAAGGCTTATGCCCAAAGACTGCAGAAGCCCTAGAGCAGACTATTTGCAATGAAAGAAAAATGTCGGACAATAAAGATGCCCATAATTTCATTCCATTCCAGGTAAGAATGTTGAGCAACTCCTCAGAAGTTTGGAGAGCCTTTCAAGTCCTAAAGATGACAAAGATGTGGTAAGCAGAATAAGGCCCCCCACCAAAGATACCTGTGTCTGTCCTAATCCCTAGAAGCTGTGAATAGGTTACTGATATGATGTGGCTGGGCTGTGTCCCCACCTAAATCTCATCTTGAATTGTAGTTCCCATGATCCTCACGTGTCATGGAGGTACCCAGAGGGAGGTAATGGAATCATGGGGGCAGCTACCTCCATGCTGCTGTTCTCATAATACTGAGTGAGTTCTCAAAAGATTTGATGGTTTTATAAGGGCTTTCCCCTTTCCCCAACTTCACTCTGCTTCTTGCTGTTGTCATGTGAAGAAGGACGTGTTTGCTTCCCCTTCTGCCACGTTCGTAAGTTTCCTGAGGCTTCCCTAGCCCTGCAAACTGTGAGTCAATTAAACCTCTTTCCTTTATAAATTACCCAGTCTTGGATATGTCTTTATTAGCAGCATGAGAACAGAACCCAGTCTTGGGTATGTCTTTATTAGCAGCATGAGAACAGACTAATACAGTAAATTGGTACTGGGTAGTGGGGTGCTGCTGTAAAGATACCTGAAAATGTGGAAGTGACTAGAACTGGGTAACAGGCAGAGGTTGGAACAGTTTGGAAGGTTCAGAAGAAGATAGGAAAATGTGGGAAAGTTTGGAACTTCCTAGAGACTTGTTGAATGGTTTTGACCAAAATGCTGAGACAGTGATATGAACAATAAGGTCCAGGCCGAGGTGGTCTCAGATGGAGATGATGAACTTATTGGGAAGTGGACCAAAGGTGATTCTTGCTATGCTTTAACAAAGAGTCTGGCAGCATTTTGCCCCCGCCCTAGAGATCTGTAGAACCTTGAACTTGAGAGAGATGATTTAGGGTATCTGGTGGAAGAAATTTCGAAGCAGCAAAGTGTTTAAGATGTGACTTGAGTGCTCTTAAAAGCATTCAGTTTTATTCATTTACCAAGATATGGCTTGGAATTGAAACTTATGTTTAAAAGGGAAGCAGAGCATAAAAGTTCAGAAAATCTGCAACCTGACGATGCAATAGAAAAGAAAAATCTATTTTCTGAGAAGACATTCAAGCTGACTGCAGAAATTTGCATAAGGAATGAGGAGCCAAATATTAATCACCAAGACAATTAGGAAAACTTGTTTTCAGGGCATGTCAGAGACCTTCACAGCAGCCCCTCCCATCACAACCCTGGAGGCCTAGGAGGGAAAATTGGTTTCCTGGGCCAGGTCCAGGGCCCTCCTGCTGCTGTGTGCAGCCTATGGACTTGGTGCTCTGTGTCCCAGCCTCTGCAGCCGTGGCTAAAAAGAGCCACAGTACAGCTTGAGCCATGGCTTCAGAGGGTGCAAGCCCCGAGCCTTGGCAGCTTCCACGTGGTGTTGGGCTGGCAGGTACATGGAAGTCAAGAATTGAGGTTCAGGAACTTCCGCCTAGATTTCAGAGGATGTATGGAAATGCCTGGGTGCCCAGGCAGAAGTTTGCTGCAGGGGCAGGGCCCTCATGGAGAACCTCTGCTAGGCCAGTGCAAAAGGCAATTTGTGGGGTGGGAGACCCCACACAGAGTCCCCACTGGAACACTGCCTAGTGGAGCTGTGAGAAGAGGGCCACCATCCTCCAGACCTCAGAATGGTAGATCCACCAACAGCTTGCATCATGCACCTGGAAAAGTCACAGACACTCAGCACCAGCCTGTGAAAGCAGCCAGGAGGGAGACTGTACCCTGCAAAGCCACTGGGGCAGAGGTGCCCAAGACCACGGGAACCCACCTCTTGCATCAACATGACCTGTATGTGAGACATAGAGTCAAAGGAGATCATTTCAAAGCTTTACGATTTGATTACCCTGCTGGATTTCAGACTTGCATGGGGCCTGTACCCCTTCATTTTGGCCAATGTCTCCCATTTGGAATGAGTATATTTACCCAATGTCTGTACTCCCATTGTATTGAGGAAATAACTAACTTGTTTTTGATTTTACAGGATCACAGGCAGAAGGGACTTGCCTTGTCTCAGATGAGACTTTGAACTTGGACTTTTGGGTTAATACTAGAATGAGTTAAGACTTTGGGGAATTGTGGAAAGGCATGATTGTGTTTTTTTCTTTTTCCTTTTTTTTTTTTTTTTTTTTTGATAGAGTCATGAGATTTGGGAGGGGCCAAAGGCAGAATGATATGGTTTGGCTATGTCCCCACCCAAATCTCATCTTGAATTGTAGTTCCCATAATCCCCACGACATTGGAGGGACCCCGTGAGAGGTAGCTGAATCACGTGAACAGTTATCCCCATGCTGTTATTCTCATGGTAGTGAATGAGTTCTTACAAGATCTGATGGTTTTATAAGGGGCTACCCCACCTTCGCTCTGCACTTCTCCTTGCTGCCACCATGTCTATTAGTCCATTTTCATGCTACTGATTAAGACATACCTGAGATTGGGTAATTTATAAAGGAAAGAGGTTTAAAGGACTCACAGCTCCATGTGGCTGGGGAGGCCTCACAATCATGGTGGAAGGCAAAAGGCACATCTTACATGGCAGCAGACAAGAGAGAGAATGAGAACCAAGCGAAAAGGGTTTCCCCTTATAAAACCATCAGATGTCATGAGACTCATTCACTACCACCAGAACAGTATGGGGGAAACTGCCTCCATGATTCATTTATCTTCCACCGGGTCCCTCCCATGACACATGAGAATTATGGGAGCTACAATTCAAGATGAGATTTGGTTGGGGACACAGCCAAACCATATCACCATGTAAAGAAGGGCGTGTTTGCTTCCCCTTCTACCATGACTGTAAGTTTCCTGAGGCCTCACCAGCCATGCTGAACTGTGAATCAATTAAACCTCTTTCATTTGTAAATTACCCAGTCATGGTTATGTCTTTATTAACAGCATGAAAATTGACTAATACAGTTACCTTACACAGCAAAGAGGAGTTAAAGTTGCTAATCAGCTGACTTGAAGACCAGGAGATTGTCCCCAATTACTGGGTGAGCCTGATGTCATCACAAGTGTTCTTAAAAATAAAAGAAAGATGGCCAGGCATGGTATTGCATGCTTGTAGTTCCAGCTACTTGGGAGGCTGAGGTTGGAGAATCACTTGAGCCCAGGAGTTCAAGACTAGCATGAGCAACATAGAGAGACTTCATTTTTTAAAAAATTTTTTCTTTTTCAAGTTAACCAGGCATGGTGGCATGCCTGTAGTTCTAGCTACTTGGGAGGCTGAGGCAGGACGATTGCTTGAGTTCAGGACTTTGAGGCTGCAGTGAGCTGTGGTCACACCACTGCACTTCAGCCTGGGTGACAGAGCAAGAGTAAGACCCTGTCTCTAAAAAAAATTTTTTTTAAGTGAAAGGAGGACAAAGAGTTAGAACATGTAGGAAAACCACATAGACATAGCCAAGGGAAGAGTGTGTGCAGAGGCTAACACCTCCTGTTCTGTCTGGTCATCACCCCAGACCAAGTCAAGCAGTTTCTACAAGGCTTCTGGAAAAGCAGCCAAGAGGCTTCTGATCACCTCTTGGGATTTTGTTTCAGTACTCCTTACCCATACGTGCATCAGGAGAGCTCTGCAGAGCTGCACAGTTGGTTCTGCATTACTTTTTGTAGCCTACCTATTCATACAGTGTCTTTTCTAATCTCTGATTTCACTGTAGAAACCCCACTTAAGGTCCAGTTAACTTCTGCTCCTGAAAGGAAGCTTGTGTTTAATGCCCCTGGAAGAAGGTCTGTCAGCTCTTCAGGCTGAATGGGTGCTGGGACGCCAACTCCCCTGGCAGGCTTCTGACAGCAAGATGTTCCTCTAACCAAGAGGTCCTTCCTCTGACTGACTGCCCAAGGCCTTCACAATTCCCACTGTTACATGATAGATAGAGTGCTCCCTGCCCCTTCCAACTTCTCCATGAATATATAGAGTAGTAGCTTAGTAGGAATGCTAAAACTATAAAACTCTTAGAAAAAATACCTAGGGGTAAATCTTCATAACTCTGGATTTGGCAGTGGATTCTTAGACATGACACCAAAAGCATAAGCAATACAAGAAAAAAACAGATATACTGGATTTCATGGAAATGAAAAACTTTTGTGAATTAAAGGACACTATGAAGTGAAAAAACAACCTACAGAATGGGAAAAATGTTTTCAAATTGTATATCTGATAAAGTTCTAATATCAAAAATATAAAAATAACTCTTACAATCTAATGACAAAAGGACCAACAACTCAATTAAAATTTCAAAAAAAAACTTGAACAGATATTTCTCCAAGGAAGATAAAGAAATGACCAAAAGGCACATGAAAAGATGCTCAGCATCATCCGTTATTAGGGAAAGGCAAATCAAATCTATTATGAGATACCATTTCACATCCACTAGGATAGCTATAAAAAAAAACTCCATAAAACAGAAAATAACAAGTGTTGTTGAAGATGTAGAGAAATTGGAGCCCTCATACACTGCTAGCGGGAATGTAAAATGGTGTCACTGCTTTGGAAAACAGTTTGGCATTTCTTCAAAAGGCTAAACATAGAATTACCATATGACCCAGCAATTCCACTCCTAGGTGTATACCCAAAAGAAATAAAAACAGATGTTCAAATAAAAATGTGTATACAGATGTTCATAGCAGTACTATTAATTCACAACAGACAAAAAGTGGAAACAACCTAAATGTCCATCAACAAGTGAATGGATAACAAAATATGGTCTATCCATAAAATGGAAAATTATTCATCCATAAAAAAGAAGAAAGTACTGCTATAGGCTACCTCATGGGTGAATTTTGAAAATAATTTGCTCAGTGGAAGAAGCCAGACAAAAAAGGTCAGATAGCGTATGATTCTATTTATATAAAAAGAATATAAAGAGAATTTATATTTGTCGAGAATAAGCAAATCCATAGAGAAAGAAAGCAGACTGGTGGTTTCCAGGGACTGGAGAAAGCGGGGAATGGGGAGGTACTATTAATAGGTATGGAGTTTCCTTTTGGGGTGATGGAAAATTCTGGAACTAGATAGTGGT